TGGCTACCAAAACGCCATTTTGAGGAGTAGACCGTCACTGTTTTCTTTCAATGCTAGAAAAAGGTACGCAGGCTAATGAGTCCTGGTGACGGTATATAGGTGTAGATGGTACTGGCGACCAGTTTCATGGGTTGAGCTTGTGCTGAAGACCGTTATGAACCCCACCATCGTCCCCAATGTCAATTACAGGATCATAAAAGATCCTCCTTGTGCCTATAGTCTAAGCGTTGGATAGAACTCACACATGCAGGTCGGCGTTGGTCGCGCAGGGGATCCACTAGACAACACTAAATGCTGAAGCGTCAGTCGAAATCTTTGATAGGCGATGCTTAATCTGCGATCCTCTTTGACAGTCCTCAATGAAAAAGTAGAAATGTAGACCAAGACTTCATCTTGCCCGCGCAATGCATATTACATTTCTGAACTCCTTATTAAATGTCAAGAGGATCGGATAAGTGAAGATTGGAGAACTTGGCTACTCCCGTTTTGTTACTTTACGGCTCTCGCATTGCCATCCTTGCCTTTACTTTGATTGCCTGATCATGCACAAGCACTGCATCACCAGAGCCAGGCATCTTCCTGAATAGTGATTTTCTGCTCAATTTTCATGTTCTGACGCCGAATCAGTCCTACAATGCTCCTGTCAGTAAGGCTCCACTTTCTCGATTCTCCTTCAGAGTCCTTTAAAAGCATCACCTTCGGACGACGAACTGTCATTGCCTCTGTTCGGAGACCAAATTGCCGACAAAGTTCAAACGTCTGCAGACGGCAAATCCTCCATCTTTGCTTTTTCGCATTCTCACAACTTGTGGTCTATGAACTTGGAGGACGAGGAACCGGCCTCCAAGAAGTTGGTGCACAGATGCCTCCTCGAGTACCTAGCTGCTAGTACTCGATTAAAGTTTGCGGATCTTCAAGGAGAGTTCGCGGCTTTCCACTGGCTGTGTTGCGACCTCGATGAGGCCGGTTGGTTCAAACGTGGCACTTTGGAAGGCTACAGTTCACTGGAAATATACCATGATCCTTCAAAACAGTTGGATTATGTGAAATTGGTGAGTCACTTTCATGAAACATAGACTAGCTAAAAGAGGTTAAAGTGTTTTTGATGTCAAAGCACCTTCCTCACCGTTGCAGCCACCGATCAACTATGCTGTTGGAAACATAGTCTATCCAGAGGCCACAATTGACTCCATGTTTTCCACATGGATCAATATGAGCCACTTGGGAACTCCCTCCACATCACTTGGACCCGAGTGCCCCACAGATACTGAACCTGCTTACCATCCTGCTCTCGCGATACTTCGACTCTCCGATTTGCTTAAAGAACTTGGCACGTCCAAAAATCCTCCCTACGGCATCCATCCAAGCATCACATTGGCAGTTCTTCTATCAGTCGACCAGTGTTCCTCAAAACTTACCCAAAATTTGAAGGAGGGAGAAAAGGCCTTCTTAAATCTGAATCCCAGTGAGATTATTCTCCTCTGTTCACCAGCAAATTGTCTGGTTATCTTCCGCATTGTTGACTCGGAAAGCGAATGGAATGTTCAGAGATTGCTTCTGGTACTGTATCGTGATTATGCGGACTCCATGGAGGTTGCAATAAATGCTTGCATGGATAACCTCTCTCAGTTGATCACCACGAAGATGCACCTTTCGGCGTTGATACAAGCTATTGTGCCTCCAGATTGGATAATGCATGTGGGTGTCCGCAGTGCCATTGAAAAGGCCAACTCTGCGATCCCCACGGGGAACGAGGATTAGCAGAGAGGGGGAAGTCAGATCCGCTCCATCTTTTACTCCCCTCATTCGTGATACTTCATATCTCTCCTCCTTCCGTAACTTTTCGTAATGTCTTTCGCGTTACCATTGATTGACTGATTGACAGACTGGTTGATTTCACCTCGCCACCGTCTCTCATTATGCTTCTCAACTCTCCACGTCTGAATATATTTCATACATCAGTTTGTGTAGAGATGGCGGTGAAATTATGGTCCTCTGCGTGAGTCGTCTATTGCCAGAAATGTGGAAATTTCTCCTCCTCCTACTCTTCCTTTCTGCCCTCTCTTCTGTTGGTGCTTTTATTTTGTCTGTTTGTTCACTTGCATAGTTGGTTAGGTGTATCTGTTCAGAGTCATCTAAATCACTTTTTTTGCTGTTTGATTTGAGTCCACTCTCACTCCCTCGGCCCTCCACTCTCCTGAGTCAAATGTTTTGTTCAAAAGAGTGATCAATGGGCTTGCTCTGTTTCCATTATCCCTTCATTCTTTGCCCACTACTATTTGGGCAAGGAAGAGATTTAAAACCCGGAAAAGTGGGTCGCATAAATCGTTAATCCGAATGCTGGAGGTGTCAAAAGCACGCCATCCTATCAGCTTAGTCAAATCGAAAACCAGTCGACATAACGATTCTAGAGTCCCGTTAAGCCTTTTAGCAAGTTAATTCTATGTGAGGGGTCTTGCGAAAGTCTATGTAGTGGTTAAGGGAGTTGAATGGTTTGCTACTTTTTTTGCTAACAAATCAGGTGAGTGACTATCATGAGAACTGGTGAGAATCACATGATCACCATCTGTGGCTGTCAGAAGCGTGATGTAATCTCTGCTATGGCAACACATGACCGCTGCAATA